AAGGCTCATTGGAGGCACAGACGTAGCACTCACCTGGGCAGAAAGAGGGGAAGGGCAAGTCAAGTTAATTTTGATTAAATCGTTGAATATCATAAATCACAAATTCTGCAGAGCACACATCGCGTGATTCAGATTCAGAAAGTCTTTACTACAAAAAACCCTTAAAAAAGACGGAAGACGCTTCAGGAAGAGCAACTGAGGGTCACTGGAATAAAACTCAAACATTGAATACACAAGCATGTAATTTTCTCCCACCATGGGTCTCAAAACAAAAACTACTGAAAATATGAAGTGACGCCAATTATTCTAAATAATCAGAAAATGTAATGATACTCTTTGGAAATGATTAGTTAGTGTTGAAAATGTGGTTAAGTGAAGATGTGAGGTGAATTCAGGGTCAAAAGTTATAGTAGAATGACTGTAGTCAAATGAAGTGGGGTAATATAAGCTGTGTGTGTGGGTGTGTGTGTGTGTGTGTGTGTGTGTGTATACAGTGGATGGAGTGAAGGTGACAGCAGATGTCAGACTCACTCCCGTCTCTCGCTCTCTCTGAGCTGCAGACTCTGCTCGGTAACGTGAGGTGGAAAACTGAACGTGTCACACAGGAGGACGTCAGCGTCCTAAACCGCCTGACGGTCAGAAAACATGGAGATAGACAAAAGAGGACTAAACAAAGAATCTGATCAAAATAATGCTGGCTGAAGGGTTAACTTCCCAATTCAAGACTTTTAAAGCTCCTCCAGTGTAAAGGTCTGTGTCCATGTGTAGTGTGATTATAGATCAGCTCTAGCTTCTATATTAATACTGTGAAAGTATCAAAGCCTCAGTCCACAGAGAAATGCACACAGCCTGTATTCAGAAACTGAGCCTTAAAACCAGCCGTCAGGACTTCTGGAACTTTGTGATGTCACAACAAAGCAGTCACCAAGCCCCGCCCACCTGGACCCACCATCCAACCCCTGCAGGATTTGGTTTCTCTGAGTGTTTTACCTGAAATCTTCTGTATCATTTTGTTTTACGATTTGTCAGTTTAACGCGAGTGAGAAATTTTGCTAAAAAATCTTTAACACACAATAATCCTCATTATTGTGGTTCCTCTTCTATGAGTGATTTGGCTCTCAAGGCTCCCACAAATCATTATTTTCATTAAGATTGGTTAACTAATTAGATTAATTAACTAATCTGTATTTTTTTTACATGGTTCTGAGCTGTAAAATAAAGAAAATTAATCCTCTCCAAAAATGTAAAGAAAATATCACTTTATCAAAGGTAGTTATTCCCAATAAGGCTGCGGAGAATTATTATTTTAATTTTCCTTGTTTTCACTTATTTTTTTCAATTTACTGATTAATTGTTTTGCCTTTAAAATGAGACTAAATAGTGAAAAATATCCATTTACTGTCATGTGTGACAAAGAAAAGCATCAAATCCTCATATCTGAAGCTGGAAACAACAAATGTTTAACATTCTTTATTTAAAAATTACTAAACTGATTATTTGATAAATTTTCTATTGATCAATTAACTGATTAATCGACTAATTGTTGCAGCTGTAGCAGCTTTAATGAATGAGATTGCAGCTCATCACATGTGCAGTAGCCTACAGCCACTCTCCTGTTTTACCTTATATGGTTACGAATGGCTCTTCTACTGTGTCTCTCTCCCTCAGTCTGAATATACCTCTCTCTACCTTTCTATATCTCTCGGCAGAGCTCGCCATCTTTTAACACACACACACCTCTCTCCCTCTTTTTACCCCCACACACAAACTTGTCTGCCCCTGTATCCCTCAAACACACACCTTTTCTTTTTTACATTTTCACACACTCAGCATCTCTCTCTCCCTCTCTCTCTCTGTCTCTCTCTGTCTCTCTCTCTCTGTCTCTCTCTCTCTCTCTCTCTCTCCCCGGTTATTGTGTGTTTGACCTTGTGTCTCCATGTGACGACTTTACCTTTGTGATTCAAACCAGCTGGACAGGACCGCTCTGGGTTTTTATTCAAATACCTGACTGGCCAAACACCTTCTGTCTGACGCTCCACCAGCAGACTGACTATTTCCACACCTTGTTTGAGACACACACACACACACACACACACACACACACACACACACACACACACACACACACACACACTGTGTAAACCTGAGCTGCCATTAACATCTGATTTTACAGAATAATCACTCGAATCAAAAATATAATCAATAACAAATAAAGCAGCCTGAGGAACATTTAACCTTACTTCTCAATTAATCATTTAGTCCCATCCTATCTTTGCGCAGCTGAAAGTCCAAACACCCACAAATGTTAAGTTTACAGTGAATTATTTCATTTTCTGCTGTAAATACCAGTTTCTCAGTTATAACTACCATTCAAGTCAAAACCCGAGTCAGAATAACAACATTACATTGTAAATTTGTAATTCATTGTAAACTCCAATATCTCCAACCTACTGCTTATTTATACAGACTTGCCTTAAAAACTAATAAACAAGGATGCCTTATGTCAACTACAATCAGTCGTAAAAAGGTATTTAAACTCAAGTTGTCCATTGATGTGAACACTCACAAACCATAGCCATGGTAATCTTTTCTGTCTTTACCCACAGGACACCAGAAACTGGACTTCCTACTCCGGACAGGTACGATACGTCAAGTCCCAATTCTCGTCACAGCTGCCAACACAACAAATATTACTTTTAAAACACTTAAACGCCACTCTGTCGACATTAGCTGGTCAAACAATCGAACAAAAACTCTCCTGCAGGCTTCCATGTTTTGCTCGATGGTGGAGAGGGGGTCGTGAATGACGAGTTTCCCACTTTCGGCTCACAGCTTAGAGCCGCTCTGTTTGTCGTTTAATTCCACCGAGTGCTGAAGAGTGATGCGTCTGTCTTCTAGTACGTCTCTGGCTGAACAGCTTCCTGGCACTAGCACTCATTAGTGGACATTACAACCAGTCACACGTCAATACTGATGATAAGTGATGTTACACTGGTCTGTTTCAGGCTAAATGACTTCAGACAAGATAAGAAGAGCAGACGGACTGGACTCCAGAGTTGTTGTTTAAAGGAAGGGAATTTTCCTGGTTGAATGTTTAGATTTTAAATTTTGACCAGGAAGATTTCAGTGTTCACTGGCAGTGATTCAAAAGTTGACAGTTGGGTTCTCCAGACCTTCAGGGTTCAACTGGGTGGAGTGTTTTTGTGGTTATTAAGCCCTGAATCATTAGCTCATGAGGCGGAAAAGTAATTTTTCCTCTCATTTGTGACTTCAATAAATCTTGTATTCTGATGGTAGGTGGGGTGGTTTGGTCTCTGTATTGATTATGCACTAATTATCCTGCTGTAGATGTACACAGAAATAAATAATTCAATTGTGTTTGCATAGACAGATGGAGAGGAAGGAGACAGTGAGGAGGTTTAAGGAGGACAGATCAGTTGACTGACTGATCGATGAAGGGAGTGACAGTCTGATAATTGACTTATGTAATGTTAAAGTAGATCAGACGTCCATTTATACCTATGAGAGATAATTTGGGCAGAGTGACATCATTGGAAGGTGGTGAGAAAAAGTCTGGTGGGCGGCAAAGACAATGGGAAATGTGTTTTCTTCAGTCATGAAAAGAAGGTGAAAGTTTGGTGCATTGTAACGCACAACTTCCCAGCATTAATACTATATTTTTTAAATGTTTGTGCCACTAGGATGAAAGACAAATTTAAACCACCACTGAGAATGGTCCACACCAGGAGCCCAGCTGGTTATAATGAGAATGAGGAACTGATTGGGCTTCATAAAGTCAATAACAAGCTATTAAAAAGTTAATCTGCAGCTTAATCCCGATGCTAATGAACAGCTTCAGAGATTCCTATTACCCACATCTTGTAAACTGATCAGAAATGGTCAAAAGAGGGAGCTATTACATCAGAGATTACAAATGTTGTATATGCATTTTGCTTTAAAACATGTATTTCATGCAGCACCACTGCACTGGAGATATTTAAGGAATAGTTTGATTTTTTTCTTTCTTGCTAAGAGATAAATAAGAAGAATAAAACCTCTCTAATGTCTATAACATGCACATGGAGTTAGAGCCAGCAGGCAGTTAGCTTAGCTTAGCATATAAGGCCTAAAAGTTGGAGGGGGGGGGGCAGCTAACCTAACTCTGTCCAAACTCTCTCTAAAGCTCAAACATCTTGCTTGTTTAATCCACACAAAACCCAAAATGTAAAAGCAGCAACTTGTGGTTTTATTTCCAGGAGGTGACCTCCAGTTTGCTCTACATTCTTGTTTTGCATACAGATATAAGAGTGGTATCACTCCTCCCATTTAACTCTCATCATGAAAGCAAGTAAGTGTATTTCCAAGGACTGCCCCTAAACGTCAACGATACAACTGATTATTCAAGAAGACTCTTATACAAAAACATGGCAGGCTATAAACTTTTAAAGTTTAAATTACTACAACTAACTAGAAAACTAACTGTCATGGAAAAAGTGAGATGGAAGCATCAACCTCAACTGCAGACTCTGAGTCGACTTTGAATATCCTGATTCGGGTACAGAACTAGAACTTCCCCAAAAATAAAACAATTTCTTTAGGTAGAAAATGTATTTGTATTTGCTGTAGAGCCCCTCGCTGGTGGTTAGAGTTAGGATAAGGTTAGGGGAACAGATTTTGCCACAACAGAATTAACTGGGAACAAGGTTGAGTAAAAAGTAAGTTGGTGAGTCTTACCTTCCACCAGCTCGTCCATACTGCTGATCTTCTTGCTGCCATCTATAGTGTAGATTGTGCGCACCCCTTGCGGCAGATGCAGGTTATCCGCCAACGAGCGCGTCAGCTCCATCAAAAGTGCGTCGTAGGACCGAAAGCGGTCACTGGAAACGGCGTACACCAGACCCTTGAAATACCGGTCTCCATTGCGGTAGAACCTGACCTTTTTGGCCCGTTTCTCCGAAGTGAGCGCCTGCAGGGTTCGGGTCCGGTAGTAGCTGCAGTTGGCGCTGTGGGCAGGGCTAGGAACCAGGCTGCTGCCCCTGGAGCTGGGGCCAGAACCCCCACCTCCACCACTGCTCGTGGAGTCATCTCTCTTGGCCCTGGTGGAGCGTCCCCGGCGAACCTTGTCGCGTTCGTCAAAGTGCTCCAGCTCGAGGGTCTTACTCAGAGACATCGTGAATACTGGTCCAGTAGCGTTCAACAGAGTCCCTGCTACATAAGATTCATCCTCCAACAGCGATAAATGGGACTTTTATTCTGGTTACCACGTTTCTTGCTTATCTAGTTTGTAGTCCTGATAAGATGTTTGTGCTGTAAACTTGACTTGATTGTAGACCCAGTATAAAGTAGTTTTCCCAAAACAGAGATGTAGAACCAGTAGCTTTGTAACCCTTTGAGGTTGTAGTCCTTCAAATGTGGTTTTAGATTCTCAAAATTCAGCTGTAGTCCTAATATCGTTCTACGCTCTGGCCTTACTGAAGAACCAGTAAAAATGTGGGTAGACCTTATATAGATTTCAGTAACGTTATAGCCACAAACTCCACGGTTTCACCAACAAACGTCAACTCTCTACTTTCTGAATTGGCCGTGTCCTCACAGTAACCTTCCTGCAGTCGCAGTAACCCAGCTGTAACCTCACTGTTCCGGCTTTAAACCCGGTGCATTGTTGTGTAGAACTGGTACAAGCACGTTGAGTCTCAGCAGTCCAGCTGGGGTGTAGTCCTTGTAATCCGGTTCACTTCGGGGGGTTTGTCCCGGTCACACTTTGTCTACCAGCATCCTTAACATCCCTCCATCACTGACAAAAAAAAAGAGATGACAATCACATGGTTTACTGAGAAGACAGACCTCCCTACCATCCTGCGATAGAGGTGCTGCAGCCGGCACATTCAGCCTTCAGTTACCTCTCCATGTGCAGAAAGAGATCAGGATTTATGTTGAATTCAGTCATTTAAGGATACTGAAGGCAGGATTGCATTTAATCAAGGTTGAATTTTGAGCACAATACCACAGAGACTGGGCTTTTATTTGGAAATGATTAATGCCTCTGCTTCTCATGGTATTTGCATGCACATTATGGATAAATTCCTGCAAAATAAAAGGTGGAAAAGAGGTTGCAGGTGAAATATAGTCACCACGTTTTAGTGAAATTAACTTTCCTGCAAGGCCAGAGAGAGAGAGAGAGAGAGAGAAAAAAAGGCTCATTGATTTCCAGTCAAATTGTAATTTATCTGAAGCCAAGAACAAAATATGAAGGTGTAGATGAAATTATTATATACCTGTTTATCTCTCTCTTCATCTGATAAACGAATTGACTTTATCCATCTATCCGCCCAAACATTGCTAAGCTGTGCTGACAGCGCCATTCACACACACACACACACACACACACACACACACACACACACACACACACACACACACACACTGAGAGGGAGGCACCTACCAATAATGCCGTGAAACCGGTTTGTTGCTATGGAGGCTTTCTCCTCTTCCCCCGGTGCCGTGTTCCGGTCTGTTCCCGTGGATCCGGGGGCCCCAGGCGGACTGCACCGGTACGACCGAGCAGACCCGGTCCAGGCCGCTCCGCTAACCCGGGATACAGGGACGCAGCGGCGGCAGGCAGGCTACACCGGCGGAGGACCGGGATGCACCGAGACAGACGGCGGACAGCAGCATGGCCGCTGCAGCAGAGAGAGGAGAGACCGGCTGCACACCCCCTCCCCTCCCCTCTCCTCCTCGCGGCTCTACGTGATGACAACGTGCCCCCCTCCCTCCCTCTCTCTCTCTCTCTCTTTCTCTCTCTAGCTCTTTGTCTAGCTCGCTCTACCGTCTCTCGCTCTTCTGTCTTTTGTCTGGCTCTCTCAGAAATTCAAATTCAGTTAGTTTTATTGTCGGGACTGTTGCAGTGAGGCTACATATTGAAATCCACCATTACGCAACCACACAAACATACAGCCTCAGTGACAACATCATTTTCACTTAACTGCTTCCTTCACTTTGAAAATTAAGTAATTAAGTAATTAAACATTGCATTTATGGTTCACAGTTAGATGCCCAAGTGAAACCACTCCCATGTTTGTACAGTAAATATGAAGTTGAAGCAGAGATGGAGGTCATGACCTCGGTATTTAAATTTTTATTTTAAATGTATGTTTCTATTTTCCAGCCATAGACACCCGCAAACACGTTTCTTGATCTATTGCGGTCACTTATTGATGATATCTATCGATCTAGTAGACAGATATCTGCCAATAATACTTACTTTCAGCCGCAGGACGGCAAGACGGCGCTGTAATTGGTTACCATAGCAACACGCAGTCCGGAATGAAGGGAATGTCAAAATGGCGGAAACTCTAACGGACACACAGATAGAAAGAAGTAGGTTTGTTAACTAGTGTTAGATCTATCTATCTATAAACTATAAAGTGTGTGCGAGCTGATAACTTTGATAGGAAGCTAACGCTATCGTAATGCAGTACTGCAGCCTGCTATGTTGACTGAAGGAGTGCTAAAAAATGCTAGCTAGCGAGCTAGCTGCCCCACAGTTCAGAGTTAGCTAGCTAAATAGACACTGTCAAACTGACTACAGGCCTCTGACATATTGTTCCATTTGCTATTGAAAGTATTTTCATTTTTGTTCACAAATTGAAAATCAGGTCAGAAAGAAAAAGACTTCTTCAGGGCAAGTTCAGTTTTGGGTGAATAAAAAGTAGGGTAGAAGAGGTTAGAGATGCTGAAAGAGCAGGTACAATCAGATAAAGCATAAATACTTTACGCTTATTTGTATTAATTTTTTCCTATCATTTCATTTGAAGTCTGAGGGTTTTGTAAGACTCTTGACCTCAGTATTTGTGAGGTTCTGGTTACGGCCCTGCATCAGAGCCTCTGATGGAATTGACTGTTTCCTGTTGCAAAGATAATTAAACAACTATAGAGAGACACGAAATGGCCACACAGGGATGTGAGAATGATTTTCAAAATTATTTAATTTTTTAAAGGAAATCCTCTTTCTGCAGCAACAGCTCCACCAGCAGGAGAACAGAGAACCACAAACACAGCTGCAGAGGATGAGGAGGAGGTGAGGAGAGAGGAAGAAGAGAAGATCAGAGGGGAGGATAATGAGAAAGGACGGATAACAGAGAGAGAAATGTTACCAGGCAAGACAACACTGATGAGAAATACTTGCTGACAGCAGAGATGGAGATAACATCCTTCAGTCTGATGAAAAAAATCCACTTCTTTTCTAACAGACATATATATTAATTTTCAATGTCCCAAACATCTGACTAACATTTTAATAAAGAAAGGAGTACAATTTGAGACATTTTTTCTAATCAAAACGCAAAATGCAAATTAAAATTACATCTTGATAAGAATCTGTCAGAAAATATCTAAAAGTTTGATCATTTATAATTTAGTTTTCTTTTTCTCTCGTGTGTTTATGAACTTTAAAACATTGAAACCATTATAAATATTTATTTCATTACTGCAACTGTAAAAGCACGAGTACTGCTACTTCTGCTTGTGTCGTTAATTTTGAGATTGGCCCATTACTGCTATTACTACTACTTCCTCTGTTACTTCCGCTGCATGTTTTCTTTTTTCTTTTACAAAAACTTACAAAACAGATTTTTAAAGCGATTAAGAGCCAACACTAATAAATAAATGATGATAAATTACTGTAATAGTAGAAGTAATAAATAATTCTCCTGCATTAGTGAGCTAAATATTTCATGAAGCCAAATGTTTGTTGAGGGCGTGGCTTTAGATGTTACTGTTTCTGTCACTATTGTCAGTTTCACTTATATTAGGGAGCATCAGTACTGTGTAGAACTACACACAGGTCTCTGTATTGTATTGCAGATATATGGTATCAGTACGTGTGTCGACTGAAACCACAAAACGCCCTCTGCAGATCTGGATTTTTTTCTAGGTACAGTTAGAAAACTACCATGTGATGAACTGAAACATCTGAGTGTGAACGACACAAACTCTTTCAACTGTTTGTAATTAATGGCTTTATTAATGGTCAATAAAGTCTTAACTAATCCTTTGCAGATCAGTTATAAGCCATTAATGAGAACTTTTGGGTTGCCAGGTTGTGGGGAAAAGTTTGTTCTTATTAACATTAGCTTAAAACTGATCTATATAAGTGATTTATTAGAAACCTCAGGATCAGATTATTAACACTGGCTGTATTTATATTTTTAGGCAGAGATGCTGACAGCTCTGATCTGGAGACCTAAAGAGAAAGCATCTATAGTCAAGTGAATTAGGGAGATGGCATTAGAAAAAATAAATATACATTGCAGAAAAATGGAGATACACTTGATAAAATATGGGAGCTAAAAGGAGAGACTGGAGTTGCATAGGCAGAAACTGATAACTGATTCCTGAGATGTATTATGTGATTTTTTTGGTGATTTAAGCTGCTTATGAATGATTTTTTTTCTGTTTGTTTCTTTGTTAGTCTTTCTATCTTCTTTTTATCTTTTGTTTCTGTGTTAGTCAGACTACTTGCTGCTTAGTATGAATTGTTAGTGTGGGGTTGGCACTAGGTATTTTATTTCTATGTTATTTATATTTAAAATTTGAAAAACTCAATAACCCAAGATCTCCTATCAAATCTTAACTGTATTTTGTATGTCACATTTATCACAGCTCACATCTATTGTATCTTCTTCTCTTCTTTTTGTGCTTCTGGATGAAGTGGCCCCACCCTCCCTCAGTGCGTTGGAGTGGGGTAGGGTGCAGGACGGGTGACAGCTGGGACTCGCAGCAGCCAGACTGCCCCACCCGTTACTGTCAGCCAAAGCGGTGAACCATTCATCCAGATATGACGAGGTGGACAAGCCATTCTGTTGTAGTGGACATGAACCAGTACAGATGATGTACGACAAAGACCAGGACACGAGGTGACTAAAACAACACAAACATTCAAACAAGTCAAAAAGTCCTTCTAAGAATGTCAGAGAAAAGATTACTAAATAAATGTTCTGTTCACCTAAAACAAAACCTGGATGGACCAGAACCAAACATCCCCCACCCACAGAAAAACAAAAAAAATCCACTTTTTAACCAATTTTACTACCTTTATTTTCAAAAGCATTCACTGCAGTCATTTTACAACACTTGTAACACCCAAGAAACACAAGTTGTTGTTTTTTTTTAGTTAAATCCAGTCTGAAGCTTGAAAGCCAGGAGACGTTTAGCTTAGCACAGAACACAGCTAGCCTAGCTCCATCTAACAGTAACAAAATCTGATGAAGCGCAACTCTAAAACTCACAAATTAATACGTTGTGTCTGGTTTGTTTAATCCCGACTAAGACTAAATGACACGTTGGGATGTGCCAAGGGGTTATGTGCTGGACTATGTCTTGACCACCATTTGCAGTGCGAACCAGCAGAGAAAAAGTATTCCTTTTGGTCAAGGTTTCGCAACAAGATCCCACTAAGTAAAATGAAGCACCACAGAGGCTCAACACAATTTATCTCCATTTTCACAACAATAATCAACACATAACCCTTACGACAGATATTCAGCAAGTGAATGGCTAATTTTTTAGACAGGAAGATCTTGTAACTTTCAGAGCCTGTTTGGTCACATCAATTATGCCTCTTCAACTGCATGTTTTATTTTCCACCACAAATGATTGAATTAATGATTTAAACAGGAAAGTAAATCATGTATTGTAAGCTCAAATACAAAGATCAATAATTTACATATGTAGATATCATTTTAATATGCAAAATCTGACATACTCCAAAATATAGTTTTCTCGTCACTAACAAATATGCAGTTATGATAGTGACTCAGTTAAGTAAAGTTATTTGGTAATTAACTAAAGTATTGGACAAATAGACCCAACGATGGTCTTAAAGGGAAGTTAAGGGATCACCAAAGTTTTTACAATTCATTCTGAGGGCGACATGAATGTACCTCATTTCAGAGTAAGCTACCAAACAGCTTTTGAGTAATTTTCCTCAAAGCCTCAACTTCATGATGGCACAAAGGGAAGATACAAAGGATGACCAAAGTCAGTACCAGATTTCATGGCTGTTCATCTTATGGTTGTTAAGATATTTCAGTCTGAGTGGTGGACTGACAAAACGATACAGTACATATTCCTCTTTCACTTCACGCAAACCTGCCTTGATACTGAGGATAGCAGCAATTAATCGTGTGTGGTTTCTAAAATGTCAAGTCTAGATTGCTTAAAATATTGGTAGTAACAAGTAAGTAGCCCCTTGCTTGTATAGGACATGTCACGACCTTATGCAAATCTACGCCTAAGGTCACTTATGTGGTGCAGTGAAAGTTTGTTTATGGTAGCTGACAAAGTAATGCAGAGGAATGAGTGCGAAGTTCAACAGCAGGATAGAGGGGCTCATCAAATGTTGTTTTGAAGGTATGGAGGCGAATCCGACTGTCAGAGGAAACTCTGTAGAAGGACAGAGTGCCAGCTGGCCAATCCAGATACACCCCCACCCGACTAGAGCGTGAGCGGAGGGAAGATACAGTGATAGGGTCGTTGTTGTGCAGAACAAAACAATCAGCATTACAGCAATTAAGACTCCAAGACTTGTCGTTGCGTCCCAGCTTGCAATCATTCACATCCCCTTTCCTCTCATTGCTTCTGTATGTCACCCCAATGTTGAAGGGCTTCAACACATCGAACTCCCAGTAGCAGCGTTCATTTAAACCCTGCTCACACAGCACTTGTGGCCACTGATCAAACCTCTCTGGATGATCTGGATACGACTGCTCCTCTTCCACCCAGGTCACCTCTCTGTTCCCGTCAGAGAGACGGAGGTTCTTGTGGGCTGTGTTGGGATCCAAAGTGAGCTCACAGGCATCTGGAGGTAAGGAAACAAATCATTTCAGCAGCATAGACTTTAACAATATAGCTTGTGGTCACTACTGGCAGCACTAAGCACAATGCTGCTGCACAGCACTCCAGTCAGCAAGTGACAAAGAAATGTGTCGGATAAAGTTGTGTTTGTTGTTCAGAGTGCCTTCCCTGAAAGAAGAATAGTCAATATTCGTCCCATAAAAAATGTGTGGATGCCTCAGTGACAGAAATGTTTGATTTCACAATGAAAGCCATCCACAACCCAAACGGTTAGTATAACTGTCCTGTCTTAGTTAGTTGTAGCTAGTTGTATTAGTTAGTTTGTTATTAGTCTATTACAGGGTAAAGTTTGTTGAAATATAAGATATCTAGAACTGCTGTTCTCTGAAAACCTGAATAGACCTCCAGCTGCATGCGTTGCTTACTTACATTTCTTGAATCCTGGTATCATCCGGTGTTTTCCACCATGTTCAACACTGCAGAGAAAAATGAAGGTTAAATCTTCTGACAAAGAACAACCATGTAACCGACACTGTTGCTCTCAAAACCTTTGCTAGCAGAGTATCAGATCTGTCCACAGTAAATCTAGAGTATATGCATCTATTGTTACTGTCACCCAACCTGTGGTGCTATTGTACATTACTACATTTTTACTAAAGTTCAGTTCAATGATAGGGCACCCTTGACTATCTTAACTTGAATCTAAACATTAGAAGTAACTAGAATATATTTACTATATCTCTGTAAGAAGGTGTTTTTATTGTTGCTGTTGTCTTTAAGGTCCTTGCACAGTAGCTCTGGTGTAAAACTGACAGTAAACTCGTTTTAATATAATGGGTTGTAGAAGTAATCCTAAAGCACCTTTTTCTCAGTTCAGTAGAAAAGTCAAAACTCTAGTAGACTACAATAATGTTACTAGAGCCCCGTTCAGGACTGTCTCATTCACTGTGTGGGACACAGTCCTGGAAGCTCCCATAGAAAAGCTCAGGGAGCTGTGAAATGATCTTTAACAGAGGTGGGGCAGTTAACCAGACCTCCATTTACCAAACCTACTAGTTAATCTTCATCCTTGGTGTTTTCTTTTGTATAACAGGAAATTGAACTGTTGTGACTTGGTGTCTTTTCCCCAATGGACACTAGGGGCAACAATGAGCCCATTCCACAATTGAATACCAACTTGGACATTTGGCACAAAGGTAAGGTTTCAGGTGTATCAGAAGTGTTTTGAAAGGGTTTGATTTGGTTTAAAAAGAGAAAAGACTTACAGGATGAAGAATAACTGGTTGGTTTGACAAATATATGTCTGGTTAACAGTTTAAAACATGGCTGAATTTATAATTACTTGAGTATGCTGAGCTTGTATTGTGGATCATCCTTCAGCTCAAGGAGAAGCTTCACTCCAGAGTCTCCTGGATGGTTGTAGCTGAGATCCAGTTCTCTCAGATGGGAGGGGTTGGATTTCAAAGCTGAGGCCAGAAAACAACAGGCTGTCTCAGTGACCATGCAACCTGACAACCTGAGAAAACACAGTGTTTGGTTAATCAGAATGCAGATTCAGGATGTATTTATGAAGAGCAGTGTCACCAACAGGAAGTTTCTTGCAACCCTGAATGAATATAAAGAAGGTTGATCTTTATTCATTTCAGACAGAGAACCTAAATATTATTAAGAGAAAGGGCAAGTTGAAGTTAAAGAATTAACTGAATGGGTCAACCATGGTGAAGATAAATTATGACCATCAGTAAAAAATTATAAAAGTTGTCAGAAAGATGGATTCCAACAGACAAGAGTCTTTTATATTACTTGTTATATACATACCTCAGTATCTCCAGTTTGCAGGATTGACTTGACAGTCCATCACAGAGAAGCTCCACTCCTTCGTCTTTCAGGTCATTGTTGCTCAGGTCCAGCTCTCGTAGAGGTGTGTTGGGGAACTTGAGATCAAACGCCAGATGTTCAGCCCACTCTGTAGTCACTTTGCAGTCTGCTAGTCTAGGGGTGGATAATAAGGTTATATGATAAAGAAAGAGGTACAACTGTTTAATGATGTAGATAAAATATGTATCAAGTATAAAAGACCATTTAGGGAAAGGTAGGAACTGTCCCCAATGGCAGCTCGCAGGCTGCCCTGACAGTCTCACTGGTGGAACATTAACATACACTTCTCACGAGTTAAAGAAATACTAAAACTAAATCATGTCAACTTACATTGCCTTTCTGCTGCTCTTCACTGCTGGTATCAGCCTCCTTCTACCCTCATCTGATGTGTTGTAACTCTTCAAGTCCAAAACATCCAGATCATTCTTCGATACCTGCAGCATGTAGGCCAGTGCAGAGCAGTACAGGGGAGTCAGCTCAGTTTTTGAACGATCTTTCAACATCAGATATTCCTGAATCTCATCTTTGACTTTCTGGTCTCTCATCTCAACCATGGCCTGGAAGAGGCTGATGCAACGGTCTGGAGAGAGGGTCTTTCTTCGGATGGATTTGAGGTAAGTCAAGATTTTCTTTTCAGTATCTTGGCTTGGGTCCGGTGACGTCAGCAGACCCTGAAGGACTCTCCGGTTTGTTTCAACCATGAGGCCAAGGAGCATTCGTAAGAAGTAGGCCAGGTGGCAATTATTCTTCTGTAATACTTTGTCAACTGTCATCTTTAGAAGATCAAGTAAAGTATGTTTTTTGTCTTTCACATCAAGGAAGTTGCTGAGCTCTGTTGTATTCTTGTTTGTGAAACAGTCATAGACATAGAGAGCTGCAAAGAACTCCTGTATGGTCAGATGAACAAAGAAGAAAACCTTTCTCTGAGAAAAGAGTTCTTCTTCCCTAAGAACTGTGGTGCAAAATCCAGAGTGGATAGATGCTTCTTTTATGTTGATGCCACACTCTTCCAGGTCTTCCTCATAGAAGATGAGGTTGTTCTTCTGCAGATGAACAAATGCCAGTTTGCCGAGTTTCAGGAGAAATTCTCTGTGTGTCTTCAGAAGATTCTCTTCATTTTTCTCAGTCTTCTGGTCATATTTTCTGCTTCTATGTTTTGTCTGAACAAAAAGGAAATATGCCATCATCTCTGTCAGAGTTTGAGGAGTTTCAGCTTTGCCATCTCCACTGAAAACATCCTGAAATAACACAGAAGAAATCCAGCAGAAGATCGGGATCTGGCACATGATGTCGAGACTCACTGAAGACTGGATATGTGAAATGATTCTGTCAGCAAGAGTCAAGTCATCACTAAATCTCTTCCTGAAGTACTCCTCTTTTTGTGACTCATTGAAACCTCCTATCTCTGTCACCATGTCGACATACTTTGCAGGGATCTGATTGGCTGCTGCTGGACGGGAAGTTATCCAGAGTTTTGCATTAGGAAGAAGGTTACCCTGGATCAGGTTTGATAGGAGGTTATTAAGAGATGTAACTTCACTGACAGATGTTACAGTCTTATTGTTCTCTAAGTCCAGTTGAAGTCTGCTTTCATCCAGGCCGTCCAGGATCACTAAAACCTTGGTTTTAACATAATCAGTTGAACCGTTCAAACTGTGGAGTGCAGGGTGGAATTCAGTCAGCAGCTTGTCCAAGCTTTTTGTATCTGTGCTCAAATTCATCTCTTTGAAAGCAAGACAGAAAACAAACTGAGTATCCTGATTTTCTTTCTCCTCGGCCCAGTCAAGAATGAATTTCTGCACAGAAAATGATTTTCCAATGCCTGCAATGCCCTTCGTCAGGACTGTTCTGTGGCATTTCTCTTGGCCAGGCAAAGGTTTGAAGATGTCGCTGAGGCTGACTGTACCTTCAGGAGATGCTTGTGTTTTTTTACGTTCAAGGTGTCTGAACTCATGCTCTGCTTGTGGCCCTTCACTCTCCCCAGTGGTGATGTAGAGTTCTGTGTAGATTTTGTTCAGCGAACTCTGTTGGTCACCATAACCTTCAGATATCGAAGTGCATTTCTTTTTCATTGCTTCTTTAAGTTCCTTCTTCGCTTCCAAAAGAGGTGTGTCCCCTGTAACAAGAAAATGCATGATTGCAAATTCCAATAATACCTGTGTGATTAATACAAAATGATTTTAGCTCAGTCATGCAAAACCACAAGCAAACACAAAATCTTGACTTTGAGGGTTTTTTTTAAAGGTGGAAGGTAATTTGGCACCTGACACTTCCACAAAGTTACAGTGCATAATCAGAGACTCGTCTGGCTTTTATTGGTTTATCTGGTTGTTTGCCTGCTATTTCCTTTTAATGGCAAGAGAACCTATCACTATTTTAAAGACTAATATGTGATGCCACACTCTGATTATGAAGTATTACTCTATTATTAGCTTTACTTGTGGTATAGTATTGGTAATAGTACAAATATTTCTTCAGTAAGTATTTAAACCTACCAGTGTCATCTCTCTGATATTCAGGATCTTGTTTGGGTTTCTTCTGGCAGGGTTCGGCTGCTGGTGAATCAGACTGGTCCCAGTCTGAGCTGAAACACAACAACAAAAGGCACATTATTAGCTAATGTAGCTACCTGAAACACTTTTGTTCTGATACAATTTTCTCTGCGCCAATTTTAATTTTGTTTTTCAGCATTTTTCATCTAAAGGTGTTTTCTGACTGAATACTAAATGAATTTTAAATGCAAATGCAGCAATGCAGAGAGGAATGGTATAAAAATATCAGAAAGACCCTAAGCTGCTGGTTGTATGCTTCCAGTTGTCCGGACTTAAGCCACTAAGAGTGAATATAGACCTTTTGATAGTATTTGTTTTGAGTTTATTTATCCAGCACATGTGAAGTAAATGCCAAGCTAACAGCAAACACCTGGCCTTTGGGGTGGTATTTGGTGGTGTTTCTGTTTGATTGACAGCAGGATATCTGAGCTACAGTGTTACACTACACTATAGTTACATGTAATGGGTGTACAGTGTGTTGTTAGCAGTTAATGTGAAGAGTGAAGACCACACCAGCATCGAACCAGGACAAAGTAACATTTATAGCTATGCTTACTGTTTAATGTGATGAAGCTGAACAGCTAATCAGTTATATGATATAGTATAACTTGGAGTTACCATTCAAGGTTCTCAATGCCAAAGTTAATTGGCCTGTGCTTGGACCCATCACTCTTCATGGAGACAATGCTGGGATGCGTGGCCCCATCTGCACTCATCGTTTACCGAATGGAAACGAGAACTGTCATATGAACTAAACCGTGAATTTTATGAGCCGTTAAATGTAAAAGGAGTTCATAATGAAAGAAATTTGGATCCTTGTGGTTTCCATATTAGATTAACAAGGAGTTGTTGGCATGAATTGATAGCGTGTCTCCTCTTGTCCAGTGCTGGCGGGTTGGTTGATGGATTAACATGGTTCAAAAAGATAGAACTGTGGATTCAGTTTAACTGTGAAATCTTGACTTGTTTATTTGACTCTATGACTCTGAGTAACCTTTGTCCAGCTCTGTCAAGACCAATACTTTAATTACAGAGCACAAAGTGTGGAGTTACCGTTTGGACTTTTCAACACCAAAGGTAGTTGGCCTGTACATGGATCCATCACTCTTCATGGAGACACCGCTGGGAGTCGTGGACCCATCTGCACTCATCTCTGAACTAAGAAGAGAGATTGTTTTATTGAAATTTATTGAAATTGGCAATGCTCCAAAATTTACCGAATGGAACTGAGAACTGTGATATGAACTGAACCGTGAATTTTGTGAGATGTTAAATGTATAAGGAGTTCATAATGAAAGAAATTTGGATCCTTGTGGTTTCCATATTAGATTAACTAGGAGTTGTTGGCATGAATTGATAGCGTGTCTCCTCTTGTCCAGTGCTGGTGGGTTGGTTCATGGATTAACATGGTTCATAAAGATAGAACTGTGGATTCAGTTTAGCTGAAATCTTGACTTGTTTATGACTGTATGACTCTGAGTAACCTTTGTCCAGCTCTGTCAAGACCAATACTTTAAGCACAAAGTGTAGAGTTACCGTTTGGACTTCTTAACACCAAAGGTAGTTGGCCTGTACATGGATCCATCACTCTTCATGGAGACACCGCTGGGACTCTTGGACCCATTTGCACTCATCTGTGAACTAAGAGGAGAGATTGTTTTATTTACTCATCATTTCTTCAGTGGTCATTTACTCCACAGATATACAACATGAATTAATGATACACACAAACAAGGGGATCAAGAAGAACAACAGGTGAAAGTCTGAGAAGACTGAGCATGCACTCTATCTGAAAGAGGGAGAAGACTTTGACACAAGAACAGGTCTAAATTTAATCCATCCACATACTGCAAAAAAGTTAAGGATGTTTCTAAATTGCCTAAATATAAACTTTTTTGTCATATACAAAAAAAGACTTTACAGCTTCTTGCAGTGTGCAGAGTTCTTTACTGGGTGTTTTTTGGTTTGTGTTGTTTGTTGAAGACATCACAACCTGCTAATTTATGATGGGCTAAATTACCTGACTGACGGCTCGATCCAGGAACTGATCTTCTGATCAGATGACTTGTCAGATGTCACAGGGGAGGAGCTGTGAGGCCCTGTGAGGGGAGGACGCTTCTTCTTCCGCTCAGGCATTTCACCTACAAAGCAGTGGGAGTCTAAAAAGATTTGTTTGTAAAGAACAAATTTTAGCATAAAGGCAGTTGTTTTTTACTCTCACTCAGTCCTTAATTTAGCGATGGCTGGAGAGTAACTGTGGGGAGGTTAGAGTGGGAAAACATAAATTGTAAAACTTAATAAAATACACAGTATAATCTAGATACTAATAAGAATGATAAACATAATAGTACTCATAATTATACACAGAATAATAATCAATGATCAACATTAATATATATAGGGGATAGCAATTGGCCCACATTTTATTGGAGAGGGGCGGTAAGGGATCTGGATATTTGTTGGGCCTTGGTCCACAAAAGGTTTTGAGAACCACCAAACCAGAATTGTCACCAAACATAATTGACTTATTCATCATTTACGTTTATAAATATGTCTCAAATTTTAGCGATAATAAAAGCAAAATGCACTGCGGCGCAAATGCGTTTTAATGTCTAAACATATTTGCCCTTGAGAAGTGTGTAGGCCAGGTGTAGGCCCCAGCCACAACAGACCACAATACAACTAATAATTAACACCATAAACCACCGAATAAAACATTCACTGGAAAAATGAAATTAACAAGGGTGTTTTTTGTTTGTTTGTTGTTGTAATGGTAGAATTTTTTTAAGTTGCTGCGTACTTCAGTTCTCAAGAGACAAAATGTCGTCTCTGTACTTACACAGTGAAAAGCATGACATGAACTAACAACATACAACGACAGACACACAGAGCGGTCAGCTTATCCGACATCACAAGGTAACACACAGGATAATAAACGGCTACTTACTTTTTACATCCAAAATGTTTCACTTGTTGCTTTGTGAATCAAAAACTATCTCTGACAGGTAGAGTCAATGGACGCATGGACAAGATAAGGCCACGTTGTTGGTTTACTTTTGGTTTCTAGTCCTTATACAACACAAAAAGTAAATGATTTACACAAGGGTTGTAATATTAATCACAGTCACAGTGAAAACCATCAGATTAGATCTGAGTTTACAATCTGTTGCTTAAGATTTAAACAAAATTGAACAGAAACTCAGTGTTACCAACTGAGGGTGTGTTAGGTGGACATTTATGAAATGTACTTTTGGTTGCATTATGGGAACTGTAGGATCCAGGATTAATTTTCAACAGTTTTAAAAGACTCTTGGACCTGAAGTAAAACTAAAACTATCTACATGGAGAGATATTAATAGTGAAGGCACAAACTTTATGTGATTATCACATCTTTCAGATTATTTGAGTGATGAGAAATTTTAAATCCTATGCATCCAGCTTTAAATTGTCATAAACCAATAGGTTGGTTCATGCTTTTTTACCAGAACTTAAATCTTAAAATGTTACTTATATCCGCAGCATACAATAAATCACCACACTGTTCAGATGTCTTTTATTTGCTGATGTTTTAATATTTTTAGATATAAAAAAGCTTATACACAAACATCTTTCACCCACTCCAGTAAGAATTAGCCTCAAAGAAGCCAGACAAACTTTGGAGCTCAGTGATTCTCCCTGGATGAATGTTCAGGGGAATAAAAGTGATTTAAAGTGAGGTACCTCCATCACTCCTGTAGCAAAACAGTTTCAGAATGGACAACCACTACAAACATATTTCAAAACATAATACAGTTATAAAGCATTTTTCCACTTGACAGACTGAGCTTTCCCACCACATTTGGTATTCAACTTCTTTACAGATAATTTCTCATCAGACAGAACGAGTCACCTCACCACAAAAATGCTTTTATTCCACTCCTGAGAGAGAACCTCAAACAGTCAGATCATAACTCATACGGAGCTTTTAAGATGATTCTTGAACCTGCATGATTTATTTCTCCCCTAAAATTCATTCTCAAAATCATTTTAATGGCATATGTGGAAATTTGATTAAAGTCCAGTCCAGTTGACTCTTGAAAGGAGATTAATCGTTTGTGTTTGTGAAATGTTTAAACCGCTTCTATATTGAATTTGGGCTGGCTTTGTGAGGCTAATGTGAAACCTTTTACTGCAGCTTTCAGAAAACACCTTAGCTGCGTCCCAATTCAGCAGCTGCATCCTTCGGAGGAAACATTTGAAGACCGACTGCGTCACAGTGGAGCGACAAGGCTGCTTCGTGGCCCAACATATCCCAAGATTAATTCCGCATCGCTAATGAAAATAATATGGCAGCAAACAACACCGACAGACAGCCTGGTGATAACACTTTTAAATTTTAAGTATTTGTGGGAAATAAAGTTAAATGTTGTCAAGGTTGATAGGTGACAGGAGCCGGCTTTGCAACGCAACGGTAAGGGAGGGCACACCTGGTGACGCAAAGGAAAAATCCTCTGTGGGCCACACCGTCTCATTTCGGTTCAGACTTCGAGACAAAGGCTGCATCCTCCGAAGGATGTGACCTCTGAACTGGGACACAGCTCCTCATTTTCTTCAACAGATTAAAATACTTAAAATACTGATTACATCACACACTTTAACAAGCTGTAGTATGCTAACATAAAGGGGGTAAAAATACATAAAGATACAACAACCACAAACATTAATTCTATCTATGGCGTAAAAACTGCCAAAAACGAAAATAAATGCAATTGCTAGTAATTCACAATAAGCATTAGCGCAGTGTACTACAAATATTAAGACTTTTACACACACACAGCATATTACACATTTACACTTTGCTGCTAATGTGGTTCAGGTGACATGTATTAATGCTCAACATTATATGTTTCAATTAAATCTAATTAGAGCTGTCTTGAAGAGTACGTTATATTTCTAATACTTTAACCGCTTTATCTTGCCGTCAAACAAGCACTTTCCTTTGGGACTACAGTTTTAACCGTTGAACTACCGTATTACTACGCACAAGACCACCTACGGCGTGCACTGCGTAACTCCGCAGATCAGCTGTTTGATTCAAAAAGAAATTTTTCAACAGTTGAAAAAATGTAGTTCCAAAAGAAGGGCTGTATGACGGCAAGATAAAGTGGTGAAAATATTAAAAAAAATATAGCGTACACGTAAAAATACACCCACAAAAAAAGCTAATATAAGTGGATGCTGTACTTTTAATATTTTCATAATTTTATCTTGCCGTCAAACAGCACTTTACTATGGAGCTACAGTTTGTGAACCGTTGAACTACCGTATTAATGCGCACAAGCGCGCCTGAGCTGAGGGCGATCACTGTATGACACTACGTCACTGTAGGAATACGGTAATTCAACGGTTGGAAAAAAAGTAGTTCTAAAGTAAAGAGCTGTTTGATGGTAATATACAGCGGTGAAAATATTCAAAATAAAGTCTGCACTTACACTGATATCAGCTTTTTTTTCTGTGGGTATGTTTTCAAGTGGCTAAAGTAAGTTTTTTTTGTTGTCCCTGTCCGCAGCAGCACACCGCTCAGCTTCTCTGCCACAGCTCCCGGTTAGCTGCTCCTCTAAACTGGCGTCACGACGATCCGAATCTACTACAGGTAATACACTGACTATAGAGCTAACTACCTCTATCAATCCCAAGTCAAATAACGCTAACTGTCACTTTAATATGTCGCTCAGTCCACCACTGTGGTTCAGACTGAAATAACTCAAATACTATTGAAATGATTGCCAGGAAATTGAGTTCAAACGGCTGCCGTCTCCAGAGTACTACTGAATTTGGTGATCCTCTGAGCGCCACCATGAGATTGACAGTTTGGTATTTAGTTAAAAGTCTCAACTATTGGGAGGATTGTCATTACATTTGCCTCAGCTGTACTCTGTGTATAGTGCTAATTAGCAAATATTGGCATACTAAGACTCAGTAAACATAATACCTACTAAATATCATTTAAGCACTGTCATTGTGAGCATGCTAGCATTCTGATGTTAGCATTTAGCACAAATACTCTAGCTCTATAATGTACATTTGTTTCTACTCTACATACAAGACGACATTTATTCATGTGGATATATGTGAGTTCTTTACTGTAAGTTGATAGTGTGGAGAATTTGAAACAATAGATGAAAAAAGAGCAGCTGTACTGCTTTGTGCGATAAGCATAGGTGTAGTGCTGCCAGAGCGCTCCAGAACAACGCTCCACAACTTTGTTTCTCCCAGTGATGAAATAAAATATCAGCAGTTTATAAAAGTGCTTGAAGATCCGATCCAAAATGGTCAAAAATGTTATAATGACATTTAAGGTGCAGTGATTGATTTCCAAATGTCAATCATGCATTGAGTAACACGCAGGAAAATATTCCACCTTAAAAGTGTCCAGTAGCTGCCGTAACCTCTGAGCTGCACAGTGAATTAAATGGTTAATTAATAAAGATGGAAAGACAGAAAACATCCTTTCACACATCATTCATAGGCAAAAATTGTGTGTGTGTGTGTGTGTGTGTGTGTGTGTGTGTGTGTGTGTGTGTAAAGCTATAAATTCATGAGGTTATTACAAAGATCAGCTCTACGTGTGATTAAGAGAGAGCAGAGGAGCGTAATCAATTGTTGACTGGCTTGAACGGCCGATAACATGAAACATAGCTCTTTGTTTTCCCACTGAGAAGACCCAGTCAGAGCTATGTGGTGTGCTCCTGTTTGTTAGATACATACTATACTTTAGCAAAAACTAAGTTCTGTGTGGCAGATGGTAAAACATTATTTTAAAAAAAGTACTGCCACTGACTTAACTGAAAGAATAAAAAAAAAACACTTGTTACCCATTTACATCAGTATAGTTAGAAAAACCATTACGCAAAGATCAAAACAGTGAAACTGGTAAAACTTGTAAAACCTGTATAATGATAGTTGCAAATACATGCACATATGTTTAAAGGTTTAAGTCTACAACTTAAATCTCACACAGCAAATCAGATATCAGGAGTTTCTCGCAGTGTGAATACATCTATGAGTTTAGACTTTTTATGGGAAATAATGGCATCTGGAGTTGCCAGGCCACATGTTTGACTTTCAGAACTGACACTGTATATAAATGATATAATACCCTCAATTTTCCTTGTTATACAAATTGAGTATATGACTGATAAGGCAAGACAAATTTGTGTATAGCACATTATCATAGACAGAGGCTATTCAATATGGTACACGGAAATAAAAGAAGGATAAAAAATAAAGTAAAAAGTATAATAAGAAAACGGTATGAAAACAGATCATAAAATAGGTAGTATCTCATTAAAGCACAAGATTTGATGAAGGCAGTGGAGTATTGAAGCCATTTACAGTTTAGTCTGATTTGATCTCCATTGGGAGCTGGTTCCAGCTGTAGGCAGCATTCTGGCTGAAAGCCATTTCACCCTGTTTAGATCTTACAGACATGTAAGGTTTCGATTGAACAGGTAAGAAATATATTTACATTTATATTTATAGCCCAGACCTAAGTCTTGGTTCAACAAAAAGTGTCCGACACTAGCTATGTTTTTGAGACGCCAAAATGCAAATCTAGTTATAGCTTTGATGTGGTCACTGAAACTAAAATCTCCATCCCTGATTTTTAACATAGGGTTTTAATCTCTAGACTCCAGGTAAGCACTAAGTTGCAACCTTCTGTCTTTGCTCCCAAATAGTACTATCTCAGTCTTTATACTTGTCTTTTCATACTAAAAGATAGGAGCAGTTAACCCTGCGTGGTTTCTAAAATGTGAAGTCTAGATTGCTTAAAATATTGGGAATAACAAGTAAGTAGTCCCTTGCTTGTATAAGACATTTCACGACCTTATGCAAATCTACGCGTAAGATCAGTCATGTGGTGCGGTGAAAGTTTGTTTATGGTAGCTGACAAAGTAATGCAGAGGAATGAGTGCGGAGTTCAACAGCAGGATAGAGGGGCTCATCAAATGTTGTTTTGAAGGTATGGAGGCGAATCCGACTGTCGGAGGAAAGCATAGACCTCCGGCTGCATGCTTTGCTTACTTACATTTCTTGAATCCTGGTATCATCCTGTTTTCCACCATGTTCAACACTGCGGAAAAAAATGAAAATCTTCTGACAAAGAACAACCACGTAACCAACACTGTTGCTCTCAAAACCTAGCAGAGTATCAGATCTGTCCACGGTAAATCTAGAGTATATGCATCTATTGTTACTGTCAGCCAACCTGTGGTGCTATTGTACATGACTACATTTTACTAAAGTTCAGTTCAACGATAGGGCACCCTTGACTATCTTAACTTGAATCTAAACATTAGAAGTAACTAGAATATATTTACTATATCTCTGTAAGGTGTTTTTATTGTTGCTGTTGTCTTTAAGGTCCTTGCACAGTAGCTCTGGTGTAAAACTGACAGTAAACTCGTTTTAATATAATGGGTTGTAGAAGTAATCCTAAAGCACCTTTTTCTCAGTTCAGAAGAAAAGTCAAAACTCTAGTAGACTACAATAATGTTACTAGAGCCCCGTTCAGGACTGTCTCATTCACTGTGAGGGACACAGTCCAGGAAGCTCCCATAGAAAAGCTCAGGGAGCTGTGAAATGATCTTTAACAGAGGTGGGGCAGTTAACCAGACCTCCATTTACCAAACCTACCAGTTTATCTTCATCCTTGGTATTTTCCTTTGTAAAACAGGAAATTGAACTGTTGTGACTTGGTGTCTTTTCCCCAATGGACACTAGGGGCAACAATGAGCCCATTCCATAATTGAATACCAACTTGGACATTTGGCACAAAGATAAGATTTCAGGTGTATCAGAAGTGTTTTGAAATGGTTTGATTTGGTTTAAAAAGAGAAAAGACTTACAGGATGAAGAATAACTGGTTGGTTTGACAAATATATGTCTGGTTAACAGTTTAAAACATGGCTGAGATTATAATTACTTGAGTATGCTGAGCTTGTATTGTGGATCATCCTTCAGCTCAAGGAGAAGCTTCACTCCAGAGTCTCCTGGATGGTTGTAGCTGAGATCCAGTTCTCTCAGATGGGAGGGGTTGGATTTCAAAGCTGAGGCCAGAAAACAACAGGCTGTCTCAGTGACCATGCAACCTGACAACCTGAGAAAACACAGTGTTTGGTTAATCAGAATGCAGATTCAGGATGTATTTATGAAGAGCAGTGTCACCAACAGTAAGTTTCTTGCAACCCTGAATGAATATAAAGAAGGCTGATCTTTATTCATTTCAGACAGAGAACCTAAATATTATTAATAGAAAGGGCAAGTTGAAGTTAAAGAATTAACTGAATGGGTCAACCATGGTGAAGATAAATTATGACCATCAGAAAAAAAATTTAAAAGTTGGCAGAAAGATGGATTCCAACAGACAAGAATCAAGCATTGTTGCAAAAGGAACACAAGACATTTTGATACGACTTTAAACAGTGAGAATAGCAGGTTGAAGTTTGATACACCCATTTTCATTATGGCCTATTACTTGTTATATACATACCTCAGTATCTCCAGTTTGCAGCATTGACTCGACAGGCCAGCACAGAGCAGCTTCACCCCTTCGTCTTTCAGGTCATTGTTGCTCAGGTCCAGCTCTCGTAGAGGTGTGTTGGGGAACTTGAGATCAAACGCCAGGTGTTCAACCCACTCTTTGGTCACTTTGCAGTCTGCTAGTCTAAGAGTGGATAATAAGGTTATATGATAAAGAAAAAGGTACAACTGTTTAATGATGTACATAAAATATGTATCAAGTATAAAAGACCATTTAGGGAAAGGTAGGAACTGTCCCCAATGGGAACTCGCAGGCTGCCCTGACAGTCTCACTGGTGGAACATGGAAATTGTTTGCAGCCTGAGAAGAACATCAACATACAGTTCTCACGAGTTAAAGAAATACTAAAACTAAATCATGTCAACTTACATTGCCTTTCTGCTGCTCTTCACTGCTGGTATCAGCCTCCTTCTACCCTCATCTGATGTGTTGTAAGTCTTCAAGTCCAAAACATCCAGATCATCCTTCGATACCTGCAGCATGTAGGCCAGCGCAGAGCAGTGCATAGGAGTCAGCTTAGTTTTTGAACGATCTTCCAACATCAGATATTCCTGAATCTCATCTTTGACTTTCTGGTCTCTCATCTCAACCATGGTCTGGAAGAGGCTGATGCAGTTGTCTGGAGAGAGGGTCTTTCTTCGGATGGATTTGAGGTAAGTCAAGATTTTCTTTTCAGTATCTTGGCTTGGGTCCGGTGACGTCAGCAGACCCTGAAGGACTCTCCGGTTTGTTTCAACCATAAGGCCAAAGAGCATTCGTAAGAAGTAGACCAGGTGGCCATTCTTCTTTTCTAACACTTTGTCAACTGTCATCTTTAGAAGATCAAGTAAAGTATGTTCTTTGTCTTTCACATCAAGGAAGTTGCTGAGCTCTGTTGTATTCTTGTTTGTGAAACAGTCATAGACATAGAGAGCTGCAAAGAACTCCTGTATGGTCAGATGAACAAAGAAGAAAACCTTTCTCTGAGAAAAGAGTTCTTCTTCCCTAAGAACTGTGGTGCAAAATCCAGAGTGGATAGATGCTTCGTTAATATCGATGCCACAGTTTTCCAGGTCTTCCTCATAGAAGATGAGGTTGTTCTTCTGTAGATGAACAAATGCCAGTTTGCCGAGTTTCAGGAGAAATTCTCTGTGTGTCTTCAGAAGATTCTCTTCTTTTTTCTTAGTCTTCTTCTGGTCATATTTTCTGCTTCTACGTTTTGTCTGAACAAAAAGGAAATGTGCCATCATCTCTGTCAGAGTTTGAGGAGTTTCAGCTTTGCCATCTCCACTGAAAACATCCTGGAATAACACAGAAGAAATCCAGCAGAAGATCGGGATCTGGCACATGATGTCGAGACTCGCTGAAGACTGGATATGTGAAATGATTCTGTCAGCTAGAGTCAAGTCATCACTAAATCTCTTCCTGAAGTATTCCTCTTTTTGTGACTCATTGAAACCTCTTATCTCTGTCACCATGTCGACATACTTTGCAGGGATCTGATTGGCTGCTACTTTACGGGAAGTTATCCAGAGTTTTGCATTAGGAAGAAGGTTACCCTGGATCAGGTTTGATAGGAGGTTACTCAGAGATGTAACTTCACTGACAGACGTTACAGTCTTATTGTTCTCAAAGTCCAGTTGAAGTCTGCTTTCATCCAGGCCGTCCAGGATCACTAAAACATTGGTTTTAACATAATCAGTTGAACCGTTCAAACTTTTGAGTGCAGGGTGGAATTCAGTCAGCAGCTTGTCCAAGCTTTTTGTATCTGTGCTCAAATTCATCTCTTTGAAAGCAAGATAGAAAACAAAATCAATGTCCTGGTTTTCTTTCTCCTCGGCCCAGTCAAGAATCAATTTCTGCACAGAAAATGATTTTCCAATGCCTGCACTTCCCTTCGTCAGGACTGTTCTGTGGAGTTTCTCTTTGCCAGGCAAAGGTTTGAAGATGTCGCTGAGGCTGACTGTACCTTCAGGAGATGCTTCTGTTTCTTTACGTTCGAGGTGTCCGAACTCATGCTCTGCTTGTGGCCCTTCACTCTCCCCAGTGGTGATGTAGAGTTCTGTGTAGATTTTGTTCAGCGAACTCTGTTGGTCACCATTACCTTCAGATATTGAAGTACATCTCTTTTTCATTGCTTCTTTAAGTTTCTTCTTTGCTTTCAAAAGACGTGTGTCCCCTGTAACAAGAAAATACATGATTGCAAATTCCACCAATAATACCCGTGTGATTAATACCAAATAATTTTAGTTCAGTCATGCAAAACCACAAGCAAACACAAAATCTTGACTTTGAAGTTTGTTTTTTTTTAAAGGTGGAAGTTTAATTTGGCACCTGACACCTCCACAAAGTTACAGTGCATAATCAGAGACTCGTCTGGCTTTTATTGGTTTATCTGGTTGTTTGCCTGCTATTTCCTTTTACTGGCAAGAGAACCTATCACTGTTTTAAAGACTAATATGTGATGCCTCACTCTGATTATGAAGTATTACTCTATTATTAGCTTTACTTGTGGTATAGTATTGGTAATAGTACAAATATTTCTCCAGTTAGTATTTAAACCTACCAGTGTCATCTCTCTGATATTCAGGATCTTGTCTGGGTTTCTTCAGGCAGGGTTCAGCTGCTTGTGAATCAGACTGGTCCCAGTCAGAGCTGAAACACAACAACAAAAGGCACATTATAAGTTAATACAGCCACTTCACCTGAAACACATTTTCCCTGTGGTAGTTTCCTCGGACACCAATTTACGATTAATTGTATTTGAGCAGTGTAGGTCTTAAGCTGTGTTCAGACTGAATACTAAATCAATTTTAAATTCAAATGCAATAATTCAGAGGATTAATGCAACACCAGGGGTCACCATCATGAAAATAAAAAATATAAAACATAAATTTCTCCCTTTTAGTTGAGTTTTTTCTCAAAGCAGATGTGTAATTTAAAGCAGACAAACATGTAATTTAGATTTAGATTTTAAACTGTTGTAAAAAAAAAAACACGACAACTTTAAGACCTGTAGGAAAAGCTGCTAAAATTCAATAAAAAAATTAATGTCTGTGGGTATGAGTTTGTTTTTGTGTGTGTGTCTCAACTGTGAACTGTAAATCTTAATGTAAACTCTTGACTTGTTTATTTGACTGCATGACTCTGTGGCTGGCAGCGTAACCTGTGTCCAGTTCTGTCAAACCACTTAGAGATACTTTAATTACGGAGAATTACCGTTCAGGGTTCTCGTTGCCAAAGTTCATTGGCATGCCCCTGGATTTGTCACTCTTCAAGGAAAGGATGCTGGGACTCCTGGACCCATCGGCTCTCATCTGTGAACTAAGAGGAGAGATTGTTTTATTTTCTCATCATTTCTTCAGAGCGGGGTCATTTACTCCTCAGGTACACAACATATACAATCACTTTTCATAAAGACAGAACTGTGGATTCAGTTTCACCTAACCGAAATCTTGCCTCCTTTATTTGACTGCATGACTCTGTGGCTGGCAGCGTAACCTGTGTCCAGTTCTGTCAAACCATTTCCAGATACTTTAATTACAGAGAATTACCGTTCAGGGTTCTCGTTGCCAAAGTTCATTGGCATGCCCCTGGATTTGTCACTCTTCATGGAAAGGATGCTGGGACTTGTGGACCCATCCGCTCTCATCTGTGAACTAAGAGGAGAGATTGTTTTATTTACTCATTTTAATTAAATCCACTGAACACAGAGTGAAAGTTGTATTTCACTGAATTTGCATAAATATAAAGTGTATTTTTGTAAAAAAAAAAAGACTTCTTGCAGTGTGCAGAGTTCTTTACTGGGTGTTTTCTTGATTCTGCAGCTTGTTGAAGACGACACAGCCTGAAATTACCTGATTGGTTGCTCTGTGCCGGGGCTGATCTTCTGATCAGATGAGTTGTCAGACGTCACAGGGGAGGAGCTGTGAGGCCCTGTGAGGGCAGGACGCTTCCTCTTCCTCTCAGCCATTTCAGCTACAAAGCAGTGGGAGAAAAAAATAGGTTTGTAGGAGGTTTGTAAAGGACAAAAATCAGCATAATGGCAGTTGTCTTTTTTACTTACACTCTCATTCTTTAAGTTTTATGTGTTTGTTGTCAGCGTTCATATGTTTGCTAAACAACAGATATTTTTTTTTAATCTAAAAATTGTTGTATTGTCGACAAAGTGACCACACCCTAACTTTAGATAAGATCAAACTTGTTTTCACTCCTGGCAGTATTCTGTGCTACTCTTACTTTCACTACTGAATACCATATAGATTCATATTTTCTCCTATTAACGCACAACTTCAATTGCGTTTATTTTAAACCCTGAAACTTTTTTTTTCAATTTATGTATTTATCACAAATGATATGACCTGATAAATCAAATCTTTTATATTCAAAGACATGAGATTTTATATGATACAACACTCAATATTAGTAAAAAATAACAAGGAGAATATAAGTGAATAAAATATAAGTAATAATAATCAAAACAGTCATAATTATACTCAGTTATATATATACACAGGGGGCGGGAAAGGGACCTTGATAACGGATGGGACTACGGGCCAAAAAAGGTATGTTGAAAACCACCAAACCGAAATTGCCCCCAAGCATCACCGACCAGTCATTGTAAACTTCAGACGTCTCAAGTTTGAGGCTTAAGGCAGCAAAACGCTCCGCGTGGACAAAAACGGAAGTGGGGAATTAAACCACAAGAACCACGGAGAAACTCGATTTACCCTACAAATATATAAACAAACTTTACTGCAGAAACAAATTAACGACGTTGGATTTTTTTGTGGTTTTGTTAATGACGTTTTTGATGTTGCTGCGCAGTTTCATCCTCCAGGAGACAAAGATGTCGTCTGTGTTTACGCTGTGAAAAAGCAGAAGAAGAACTGCAACAACAACACGACGCACACACACAACAGTCAAGTCCGTCCGACATCACACACCGTAACACACGGGATAATTAACCGCTACTCACTTTTACTTGCAAAACGTTTCGCTCGTTGTTGCTTTTTGAATCCAACAAATATTTCCTGAAGATTTCACTTGCAGACGGTGAAGTGGCGGGAAACATGTAAACAATATCATGGGGCTTCCCCTCGAAATTTTACTTTCGGTTTCCAATTCATTATACAACACAAACAATATTTACAAAGCTGATATGAAACATACCCTACAACTGCTACAAGAAATAAACCAGATTAAATGAGTGATTTTGCAATAAATCGAATTAAAAGTTTGTGATGGAGTGAGATTATGTTGTAGTATAATGACATTTAATCCACTGTGCTGCCCAGAGTCTGAGAGCTGACGGTCAGTTGCTGTCAGTCTTGGAGGATCTAAATTATCTGCATTTCTGGTTCAGTATTTGAGGATCCCTGAGTTTGACTTAAATAAAAATAAAAACATAATCCATTATAACTGCAGGTCCACCTGTTGTAACTGGAGCACCAGCTGTGACCCTGCTGCAATGAGTGGATCTTTAGTGACACCTGGTGGATAAACAAAATAATAACAGACACATGTCTGTGTAGTCACATTAATCATGTGACCATTAATGAGTTTAACTTCTTTCTTAATCAGTTTTTGTAAATTATATTTTTCTACAGGAGGATTGTGAACATTTTACAGCCTAGATGATATCAAGTCACTCTATGTGTTTTTTTTTTGTTTGTCTTTTCTGCATCTGTAAGCTGTTTAAAAAAAAGTTTTAAATTATATAAACATGAAAATCTCATAACAGTTTACTTATGTAAACAGGTAACAGTGGAAAGCAGCTGTGGACAACAGCAGAATCAGTCGTATATAATTCATAAATCAATTCACATTATCTCTTCAACTACATCAAACTTTATATTTCTTTGCATTTGCTCAAAGAATTTTATTTGCTCTCCCTGTTTTGAGTTTCGCACTAAAATGTAAAGAGCAATCAGAGTCAGGAAACAGTTGAAACACTGCTCGCATTGGTCGTTATCATCAGTACCTCGAGGCCTCGCTCTCTCTCGCTTGCTCTCTCACCCGAAATCACCTGCTCGCTGTTGCATCAAAATAACAATCTGCAAACCGAGTGTTTCACAAAAGGCTTCAACGCCATTCTCAGGTCCTGATCTCACTTACCTTTAGGTTGCTTTTGCATGCTGCTGTCACTCAGGCAAAGAGCAGGTACGCAGCAGTTTGACCCGTCCTTATATGTGCATCGTTCCGTTTTTATTCTAAACTGAACTTCTGACTCACTGAGGTAACCTTATCTGAACGCCACAGCCTGCTGAGCTGTCCAACCACAGACTGTCCAACTACCATCACAGCTTATCTATTCCCACCACTGACACTAATAGCCGCTAATTAGTGACCCCTCTGGATTGATAAACATATTCAGTCCCTTAAACATGAATATTTACTTCAATATCCTCACTGGCTGACACATGCCCCGTCTTTACACCCCAGTAAATATAAGATAAAGAAATAGACATGTTAAGAGCATGTGAAGTGAGAGAAGAGCTGCGAGTGACATGACCCGGAAGTATCAGAGCGGCCATGATGATAAGAGCTGGTCCAGTTCCCTAAATGATAAGGAAAGGAGCTTCAGTGCTTCCTATCTTGTCTCCTTTAGCAAAGGAAACACTGGAGCTTCCTTTATGCAAGGAAAGGAGAAAATAGGGAACTTTAATCTTATGTCTGAATATACTGTAACTTATTCTGATCTCCTCTCCTTCACGTCTTTCCTTGACGAGGTCGAGGACAGGTGTTTTAGGAAAGGAGATTATTTTGACTTTTCCACCGCAGCCAAACTGTCCCTTCAGGAAGTTGTTTGTTACAGTTGTGTGCTCAACATCAAAAACACTAATGGGCACAAGAGTAGCATCAAAGCAATGAATATCTGTAGAGCTTCACTTTGTATGAAAATATCATCGATGACCCGTTTTGGACAGTGTTTAACAGGAAGTCATTTATATCCACGTCAGTGACCTTATGCAACAGCACATGCAGCAGACCTTGCACAAAGGGAAGTTAACTAATACAATATTAAGGTCTGTGGAGACCATAGTATCAAGATGGACTTTAAAAGCTCCTTCAGTTTGTCCCATGTAGGCAGGTTAATGGATGTTTAAAGCTCTGACTGTTGTTCAGTTTGTTTCTTTGTCTTTTCAAGAAGCAAATCTTCTCTTGTCGTAGTTTAAAGGCAGCTGTGAGGACTACCGCTTGTTTCTCTTATTTGCACTGAAGTTTAAAACAGCATCACAATGTGTTACTGGCTCATCAGAGCATAAGTATTGTGCAATAAAATATACAGTATCCTCTCGCTGTCACACCCAAGTGGGTTCATGCACGTTAAGCCCGCCGCTGCAAACTTCATGCATTCTTGTGACTTCCATAAATAGTCTGTTGTCTGTTTCTTGCCTGTATATTATAGATATACATTATGTTTAAGTGTCTGTAGCATGATGTCTTTGTGCAGCTGTATGTCTGTATATGTAATATCAACTTGCACAACAATATGGGAAACTCCCTGAAACACCCAGAAGACCTCACACACTCACTTACAACAATAAAAGCCTCTTAAATCATAAATTACTTACTTTTATGTCAAAAAGCCTTTTCTTTGTTTGAATTCAGAGAATATATTTGTGTGCTCGTCTCTGTGGGATTTCACGTGGGTGGGCTGAATAAAAATGTGGTTTCCTAACTGACGTTTCCTGCTTCCTGCTGATGAATGTGGTTTTTAACACAGGCTGGACAGTGATGAACTGTTTACTTTATTAAGTTTGTTTTGTTTTGTTTTTGTAAACATGACTTTTACTCCACTACATTTAAAAGACAAATATTGTACTTTTGACACCACATTTCTATTAAGTACTTTATTAATTTGAAGCATTAAGTCAGTGGAATTAATTTTATTTTATTTTGTAAAAGGTGATAGGCCGTACACTGTGTTCATCACAGGAGAACAACCAATCACAGACAAGTCCTCCTCCGTCAGTCAAGCTGTGGTTGCTGAATGGCTCATTTTATGGGGGCGGGGCATGTAAAATTAAAAATAAATAAATACAAAAACAACAATGGCTGTCCTTCAGTTGATTCAGTTGTGTTTATGTGGCTTTTACAGTCTTTGTATCATGTCCTACAAGCTCTTTCTTCCTACAGGTTCTACAGTCAGTTCATTCAGAACATTGTTTCAGAGTCATTAGGTTCTGTAACAAATATGTTCAACTTTCAGTGTTGAAATCTTTCTTCTTTTTTATGGTTTCCGGGGATTTATCTGTAAAAAAAAAAACAAGAACATTGACATGACACTGCAGTCTTTAGATAGTGTGTGATTGTGTGTGTGGTTTTATTTATAAATAGATAGATAAATGACTTCACTTTATGTGAGAATAGGCGCATCCATCCTTCTGACCATCTCACCGTTTCACTTCTGTTTCTTCAAGGTTGGAGCTTTCCATGCTTGGTCGTGTGTATGCTTTAGTTAAGTTGTCATTCACTGTATGCATTCTCTGATTCAACTTGCTGACTCATTCATTCTGAAGAGCGAATTTTCTGCTTTAGTTAACTTTCACGTCTATTTCATGCTCTTATGATTCTTGTTATGTTCATGTTCCTTGTTATCCAGCTCACACTGGTTGAGAGGATGATGATGATCTCCCTCTCTTCAATATCCTCACTGGCTGACACATGCCCCGTCTTTACACCCCAGCAAATATAAGATAAAGAAGTAGACATGTTAAGAGCATGTGGAGTGAGAGAAGAGCTGCGAAATATCAGAGCGGCAGCCCTGGTTCTCTAATGGTAAGGAAAGGAGCTTCAGTCCTTCCTATCGCTAACCCTAACCCTTGGTGGATGAATGGACTTTAAGCAAACTTCATGTTTGAGTTTCAGTCGAAGTTTCACTTCCTAAACTAAACTTCTGACTCTCTGAGGTAACCTTATATGAACATTTGAGTCTGCCGTATATCTAACACTAACCTTCATTCAAAGTTTCACTTCCTAAAGGAGGTAACCTGAAGTAACCTTATCGAAGTGTCACTATCATTCATCTCCAAATCTTATCTCTAACCCTAACGAGGTTGGACGTTAAGCAAATCGAAGTTTCAGTTCACTGTATTTCATTCTCTGATTCATCTGCATCTCTGCATCTGCAGCCTCTGTATCTCACATCTTCCTTGTTATGCAGCTCACACTGGCTGAGAGGTGATGATCTCCCTCTCTGACCTGTCATCCTGGCTCCCCCTTGCCTTGATGTTGGGTTTCATATCATCCATATATCCCCTGACTCAGAGCTTATTAACCTGGGCAACATCTGAGCTCTTTGTGGTCTCACTCGTCCTGAGGAAGGTCAGTAGCACCAGGTGCCTTGCTTAAGGGTTCATATATCCACAAGGGTCCACACTGGATCCCTGACCGGGAATCGAACCCCTGATCTCCTGTGTCAAAGTCAGTAGTGTCGATCACTAAACTGAACTGAATCTTGTTACCTGAGGTAATATTCAGAATATATGAGAAGACAGAAGATCAAACATGGACTTTGACCTAAAAGAGTGAATGTGACACATTAGACACATTAGTCAGGAGACACCATCCAGAACATCAGAGCACACTACACCTGAATCAGACAGGAGGCAGTTCACAAAAATAATTCAGTTTGTAGTAAAGAGACAATTAAACAAAGAGTTTTCACCAGACCAGTGACAGATCATCACCACACCTGACACATACAAAGCACAGCTCAGTGAGACGCCAACCAGCAGCAGCGACAGGTGCAGATCTAGAAGAGCGAGTAGGAAGGAACATGTTACAGGCGCCTTCTTCACACCAGTCACTGTACTGAGTCTCTGCTGCTGCCGTCTGCAAACCACAGAGGGGGAATCACTCTGACAGGCTGATGACAGCAGGTCTGTTTGAAACTGTTGAACCACGTTTTTCTGTCTTCCTTGAGGAAACATATATATCACAAGAGGCGTCAAAACAAACGTGACATCACAGTGACTGTAGCTCACATTGTCTCTGACATCATCATGGAGGCTTGGTGTCCGTCCTCTGATCAGCTGTTTGTAATGATCAGGATCATAAAGAGGAAGCAGCATCGTACTGACTGAATGAAGTCAGACTGTAGATTTTCCTTCTTTGGTCTCATGTGTTTGTGACTCTTCAGCTCTGTCTCCTCTCACAGGGAGAAGATGATCTGCTGCATCCTGCTGCTCCTCACACTCACCTCCTGTGTCTGTGGTTAGTTTACTCCTTCACTTTATTATCTAGAAACTGATACAAGTCCTCAGTTAGTCTGCTCCTCACTTTCCCTCTCTGTCTCCTCAACAGGAACATTTGTAGTGAATGTGACACAGAGCTCCTATCAGGCAGAGGAGAACCACAACATCACACTGGAGTGGAGCTTCACAACCAAACCTCACACTCCA